AGACTTTCAAATGTTAGCGAAAGAGATGAGGACGCGATTTTCATATTTGAGTCTTCGTTGGCCAAAGAGCAAGGAAGAACGTAATTTTCGTATCCTCAGTGGGGGATCGTTGCAATCGTATATTCATTCAATGGCTTTTGTTTGCGAAAGATCGTCAACTAGTGAGACAACCCCTCCCCCTTCTTTTTCCTTTCCATACGAATGCTCTTACTCCAGCTGGTGGTACAATACCAGGAGGCGGTATCGCCTCTCTGATCCTCTAGTTAAAATGATGAATTGGCATGCAGATTAAATCTTTGAAGGCTTATGTTTTGTCATCAAGTATGAACAGTATTCAATTTTGCAGCACATTTTAAGTTATGATGGTGTATACTAAGGTGTCATGCCTCAACTATTCTATTTCCACATTTACAGCCCCTAACCCACCACTTCCTGGGGAACATATTGGCAGCCAAACAGAATATCTCTGGTGCTATCTACCACTACGAAGAAGCTCTGAAGGCAGATCCTAACAACCAGGACTTCCTCAATATGCTCAGAACTGTCAAATGTTATCAAAAATATCACCAAAACAATCAAAACCCCGCCAGAAAGGAAAGTACGGGTCAACAGAAGTGTGGCCCTCCTGGTCAGCCCAATAGTAAGGAGACGGAGAGCAGGATTGTCTGCAAAGCTGTAAGTAAAACAAGATAAGGTGGAGGTGATTGAATTTTTTAAAGGAAATTCTTTTTGTACATACTAACAGTACAGCACAGTGTTTAGTAAGGCTTTATGTAAAACAAGAGTTGATGCATGCTGATACATATACAAGTTTTATTATTATTAAAATTAAATAATCTGGCAACCCATGAAGAGATAAATACACGTATACACGATATAGCTGTTGTTGTCAATCTATAACATTAATTTAAAAGCAGGTAACTTTCAGACAAAGTCAAACTCCATTGTATTTATTATTACGTATATCTTGTATGATTTTAAACAGAAGTATTTTAGGATTTGTTTCCCGTTTCCCCTAGGAGCATGGCAAGGAGACCTGTATTCTGGAGACCAGGACCCGCAACCTTCCAGGACAGTGTCAGCAGTCCTGTGACATGAAACCTGAGTGTAAATGTCAGTGTCCAGGTATGTATTGTGGAGTGTCAGCAGTCCTGTGACATGAAACCTGAGTGTAAATGTCAGTGTCCAGCTATGTAGTGTGGACAGTGTCAGCAGTCCTGTGAATGAAACCTGAGTGTAAATGTCAGTGTCCAGCTATGTAGTGTGGACAGTGTCAGCAGTCCTGTGACATGAAACCTGAGTGTGAATGTAATTGTCCAGGTATGTAGTGTAGACAGTGTCAGCAGTCCTGTGACATGAAACCGGAGTGTAAATGTCAGTGTCCAGGTACATAGTGTGGACAGTGTCAGCAGTCCTGTGACATGAAACCTGAGTGTAAATGTCAGTGTCCAGGTATGTAGTGTGTGTGTGTGTGTGCATGTGGTTGTGTCTATGTGTATGTGTGTGTGTGTGTGTGCATGTGTGTACGCTTGTGTATGTATGCGTGTGTTTGTTGTATGTACATGTGTGTTTCATTTTGAAATATAGGTAATGTAAAGCAAATTCGTTCATACAGTGTTTATGACAAAACCTACATTCAGGTTCTTTACTTGGTCCTATCTCTGAAAAATTGTATAATTGATAGAAGTTTCATTTCCTTTGTGATCACTTATTTTGGTTTTCTCAAATGTGTTGTTATTGAGGGTTGTGTTCCTTGTTATTTTTTCATACATTTGTTTCTTACAGAGTTTCAGACATACATGTTTCTTTCCATTATAGAAAAAAGATATGATGATATTCTTGATATAGTTATGTCTTGTTTTTGAAAAGAAGCTATTTGGTTACAGAGGTGTGTAGATATCAAAGATATTTATGCAATGTTAAAGAAAAAATAGACTGAAGAAAAGGGCATTGCAACTTTATCCAATATAATAGATAGTCAAGTCCTTCAGACAGATAATTAAATGTCCATGTTTTATGACTATAATTTCAGCAAAGCGTAAGAAATGCTGTAGACTTCGCAAGAAAATCATGGTTGTTCGCAAAACACTTCCTGATATAAATCTTAACCAGTATCTTAAAGGTAGTACACCAGTAAAAATATACTCTTCATCCCCACCCCTCAAGTTAATATGGTGTAGGATCCTGTAATAAACTCTTGAGGTACATAGGTACTTAGAGTGGGTGACATAAACACACCTGGAATATGTTTTAGTTTGGTTTTGATGTTTTAGGAAATTTAGTTATTTTATAGATGGGTCATTAGAACAAGGTTTATTGGGTGGTGTTTTGTTTTATCACTTGGTTGAGGTTATGGATTGCTTTGGGACATTTGATGTATTTAAAAACTTCCTGAAGGACATAAAACTGGTGGATATAAAATTGATTGACAATGATCAATATTATGAGAAAATCAATAAAATGTATATTTTTATAAAGTGCCTAGAAATTTCAAGAAGAAGCAGTGATTATGGTTATTTAGTGTAAAATAAGTATATATATACTTAGTGGTGTTAATAAGTTTTAAGTTAGTTGACATTAAACATCCTTTTCTTTTTAGGTGTTGGTGTACTTTGTTACCGTGTACATGCATGACTTTGATAATATACTTCTTTTTATTTTTGTTGTTTATATTCAAGGGCCATGATTGATATATTAATACACCTATATAATGCTGTGTTAAATACAGACACTGTATGGAACATGTGTGATTGTTAATTTGTCAGGTGTAGATGTCACCAACTTCAGTGTTGCCAAGATTTGCTATCATATTACGGAATGTGCTTACATATTACGAACCACTGATACTCTTACGGGTCATCATCACCATCTGATACCTTTAATAACATTATTTTCAGTAATTAGAGCAAAAAAAAAAAAAATATTTAGACGACCAAAACTGTTTGTCCTTTCAGGCCTGGGAAGCTTATCTAAAATTGATAATTTCATCCAACAGAAATCTTTTTATTGTGAACAATAAGTTATATTTTGTGATTATTAAAATCTGATAGCTGATCTAACTTCATAATAGCCTGTTGTCTTATCTAACATATGTATATATATTTTCGTTTTCAGATACTTTGATCCGTAAACTTGAGAAAGCAGTGGCAGATGAGGCTAACGGCGCCCAAATGTGCATACACAATACCATGGACCCACAAGCCAATAGTCCACTGAACATGATGTGTCAGTACTAGTAACCCATTTACATATTCCCATTACATTTGTTGTATATTTTTCAATTTGCCTTCTTTATATTATCATATATAAATTGGTTCTTGGGTATTTTGGTAGCATATGTTACATAATATTTTTTTCACACAAAACAGTTTGAAAGTTAATGTTTTAACAGATGAAACTATATTCTGATATATAATTATTCAGGAGATTACCAGAATATGAGGATTTTATTCAGACCCAGTCACATATGTATATTAATGATATTAATGGTATCTTTACTTCTTTTGTACAGTTGATCCAGAACTGGAGATGGAGAAGATAGGTCAGCTGTACAAAGACATTGGGATCTGTAAGAGTCCAGAGTGTGAAGATCACAATTTGATGCAGGTAAGGTTTAACTTACAGCTTAGTTTTTACCTGGCAATCTTCCTTTATGTTATGAGTGCAGTCCGTGGATCAACTTGTTCTAAATACACCCTTTAAATCATTTGTGTCACTTGGACATGTGCCTTGTTGCTGTCATTATTATCATCATCAACTGTGTGTCTCTCACCTTGGACTTGAAATTGCACAGACTGATGGTAAACTTGATAAGTTACACAAGTGACTGTCATTCTTGAATTATAAAATGTTTTGAAAAAAAAAAATTGCTAAGTATACACTGTAATTCTAGCCTGCCAACTCCCGTCCACACATCCGCCTGGAGAACATCAACGGGTTGATAACACAAAACCTGGTCTTCTCCGACTCTCCGTCAGAGGTCAAGGTCAGTCCAGAGGAATGCATCATTTTTAAAGATGGCAAGAAATCAGATGGTTGTGCACAGGAAATATTCAAGCCAATGGTGAGTAAGATGTATGGCACTTGTTGGTATTTTGGTAGGTCATTTTTAAAGATGGCAAGAAATCAGAAGGTTGTGCACAGGAAATATTCAAGCCAATGGTGAGTAAGATGTATGGCACTTGTTGGTATTTTGGTAGGTGAAACATTATGAGCATTTGTGATTTTGAAATGATCAGTTAGATTACCATTATAAGTCACGTTTTACATTTGATTTTATTCTAACTTGATTATGATTATTTAAGTGATAACCTATTATTGCCTCATTTGGTAGATATATGTTTAAATTGTTATTAAGTGAACTTTATTTTTTTCTTCAGGCTGATCAGCTTTCAGTTTTTCACCAAAAATTTGAGGAATTGGACAGAGCAACGTGTGACCACGCCAACACAGCAAGCAGTTCCTCCACCACAAACAACAACAATAACAACAATAAAATAGAGAAAGACAAAAAGAAAGACAGCATCAAAAGCAATGACAGTAAAGTGCCTAAGAAAAACAAAGAAAAGCCCATGCTTCAGCCAGTATACCTCCAGTCAGACGACCCCAGCGACCTTGAGGAGGTCATCAATGCCGCCATTGAACAGGTAGAAGATGTCCAGCTTCCCGATATACCTGACAGTGAGCTACCAGGTGAGGGTTGGTTTGAATGGGAAAAAAAATTGATTATATTGTTTACAATTGATATTTTCTTTCTTAAAAAATTAATTTACTGTATAAAAAACTGAAAGAATAGAGTATCTTAGGCAATTCATGATTACACAAAAATTATCCTTTAAGCCCTTTAAGCTCTCTAGATATTAATAGGAAAATTTGATAGATAAAACAGAGACTAAATCCCTCTATTTTCTTCTTTCCCTCAGACACCACCAAGCACATAGTGGCCCGCAAAGCTTTGTCCATTCCCACCTGGGATGAATGCCAGGATCATAAGAAAATTGACTTTAAGAAATTCACCAGTACCTGGCTGTCTGTAACTGCCAAAGGAATAGAGTAAGTCTTCACTTCACAGGTGTTATGAGTATGATAACGTTGATAATGTTGAACAGTTCAAATAGCTATGTGTTTGAAATGACCAATAGAATTCTTTTGTCAAAAGCTGTAGAAAATTCACTGATTTTTATGGATGATACCACGTTTAAGAACATTTTGATTGTTAAATATGCAGAATTGTATGAAATTTATTTACAAAATGCATAAAAGTAGACAATGGGAACAATAGAGATTATTAAATTCTAGGGACTTTTTTTTTTTGAAGACTTGTTGTGAAATAACATATTTTCATAAGTTCTAAGCATGTATATTATGTTTAATGTATATTAACGACTGAGTTGTGATGAAACTAATGGAAGAGATATTTTTGAGCAAATTGTGCATGTGTAAACTTACCTCATCTAAGAGAGATTGACAGATTTTGCAGTTGAGCAATTTGTGCAGTGTTGTCTTTCACCAGTGATTGCTTATCAAGTTGTAAGTGTAATTTATGTGCCATTTCAATGTTTCCAGTCCTAAACATCACGTGAACTTCTCTAAGAAGATCCGCGGGGAGTGGGAGGAGCCCGTGTGTGAGAAGGACTTTGGTGCCAGTGCCCAGTCCCTGGACCACATCAAGGGGATTGCGGAGAGGAACAGTCTGGAGTACGCCGCAGAGACTGGCCTCAAGGAGGTAACACTTGGTACATTTGTATCTCTTTGCATGAAATTTAAAACTTCCTTTGAATATTATTTAAAACTTGAAGGAAATCCCTGTGTGTAATACTTGAATAGAAGTAAAATGGAGGTAAATTTTACATGTTCTAAGGGGAAATTTCTTGATGTGTTTTTAATGTAACTCACATGTCCTCTGTGTATATTCCAGGTGTTACAATCTCTAGGAGATGATGATGGGGAGCCAGGTGAAGTGGTGGGAACCAGGATAGCCCATGCTTTGAAGAAGGTAAATTTTGACCAGAAACACCACCAAGAAATGTTTTAAAATGGAAGACATTTGATCTCTATATTCCTTTCATACTCTGATTTCAAGAGTGATTGAAAAAAAGATGAATTTTTCAAAAATACTTATCTCTTCTACATGACTTTGAATTGGTGGAGGAATATTTTGGTGAAATACTGAATTTTTCCCTTCATGAAACTACCTTTTTGGTTGTATTGCCAAAGTTTGCTGCTTCAAGTTTTTCAGTCTTTATCTTTTTCTGAAAAAGCAATATTACAGAGCTGTTATATTTAATTTTGTTCAGAATGGCACCTCATGGGTGTTAGGCAACTTAGCTGCCCTCTACTGGAGAGTGGAAGGCAATGCCAAACATGCTGTGAACTGCCTGCGTATGGCACTGAACACTGCTCCCAGAGACATGAGGGTGAGTGAAATCAACACACTGTACAGTTTTTCATGCAAATATTTATAATGGAATGAAATAAATATTTGCTGTAATAAATTTTTTTTTAGAATAACACATTTGATTAAAGGCTGTATATTTGATTATCACTTACTGCTTTGTGAAAAACAGACTTTTTTTTTTTTTTTTTTTTTTTTTTGCAGTTTTCTAACTTTAAACATCCCCAAGACCCCCATCTGTAAATGCAACCAAGCCATTTATTCCTACTTTATTCTTACAGCCAAAAATTTCATCTGGATAAAGAATTGCTAACATTTTCTTTTCTTTCAGGACATTTCACTGCTCAGTATGGCCAATGTTCTCTACAAGTCTGGTCGTCTGAATGATGCCATTGTGGTAATCAACATGGCGCTGGAGACGTCTCCCAGGATTGTTGTAATCCACTTCACGCTGGCTAATATCTATGCTGCCAAGGTGAGGGGCGTACTGTCACATATACAAGAAAACATGGAGGGTGCACAGGAATAGTTTCTTCTTGAACTAAATCTGTTGTTTTCGTTGTTTATTATCAAAGAAGAGAGAAAACCATCATGACATTGGGCTTCTGTTTGAAAATTTGTATCTTAAATTATTAGGCATATCATCAGAAAATTTTGAAATAAGTAAACCACTATGTAATTGATACAAATTGATATTTTTGTGTAAAATTTGAGTGTATCTGCTGCAAAATGACCTGCCTAAGTCATCATGTGGTCATTATGGTGATATATGTTATATTATTTGACCAGGGTGACTGGCCCAAAGCTGTGATGTTCTACGAGTCCACCCTGGGGCTACAGTCCTCCTTTGAACCCGCCAGAGACAGACTGAAGGCTATACAGTGCAAGAAAATACTGGAACACCCGGAAGAATACAAACCAAAAGAGGAGGGAAAGAAGAAAAAGAAAGGAAAGTCAAAACCAAAGGACTAATTGCTGCTATTTACATAAATATAGACTACTGACATATAAATAAAAATTTTTTGATTACTGAAAGCTGTCAGTGGATATATATTTTTCTATGGTTTCTTGTTTGATTTCTTAAAACCCAACTCGCTCAAACTTGTTACACCAGTGACCTTCTAAACCTTACCTTGTACCAAAAGTGTGACCCATTTGTGTGTACCTATTTAAAAGTTACTTAATTACACAGCAGGTGGCTTCTGCAACTTACATTTTTTAAGAAGATTAAACAAGATATTAATGTTTTATTCTTAGTTGTTGGCAATGTCAAGTTTTTTTTGTCACCCCATATCTCTCATTCATGTTTTGGTTTTTGTTATATTGTTTTAAGGGAATTTTCTTTAAAACTGTAAAACAGTAACAGTAAATTTTTCTTTAATGACAAGTTTTCTGGTTTGAAGACCAAAAAAATTGGTTACTTTTATGAAAGAAGGTTAACGTTCATACTAAATTGGTTAATTCTATCCACCTAAACAACAAAAGGAATGATGTAGTGTTTTCTTGTATTTTAAAGAACCTAAGTATATATTAACAAGCACCTTATACTTCACAGTTATCAGTGATATTGTCTTTAAGTTTGAAAGTGTTTCAGATTACAGAAAATTTCTCTGTAAAAAGACAGAAATTCAGCATTCCAATACGGGGTTTCAGTCAGAGCTCTTATAGATATTAAGAACTATTTTCATTTTAATTTATTTCTTTTGCAATAAAATTACATTTAATATTCTATATGGAAAGTAAGAAAGAGATAGAATTTAGACAAGAGAGATAGATAAACTTAATTTAATATAGTAAACACATGTCAGAAATAGTCTGACATCTTCAACAATTATGTGATATATTTCATTTCATTATTTATGTGATATTTTCACAATATTTACCTGTCTGGAAATTATGCCAATGTGATTGAAAGGAGCTAAATAATATAGGGAATTTCTTCGATTGGGCCAACAGCACATTACAAATTTTTTGTTTGTTTGTTTGTTTATGCGAGTTGTTTTGCTTCTGATAGCCTTTAATGTTTTTGCCAGGCCCGTCAATTTGCATTCTTATGTATTAGTAGCAAAGCACAAATGTAGTTCTTGTTTAGGTTTACTATAGAAGTGAATAGATCATGCCTTGTGTTTGTTATCATGGTGTCAATGTTCGATTGTTCTGTTTTAGAGAAAAATTAAAACAGTCCCATTGTAAATTCATCCTCAGTCGAAACTTTGCCACAATTTTTGTACTTTTTTAAACACATTTTTCAAGGTGCTAATTGGATATTTTTTGTATTGAAGACAATGTTATCCTCCTCAGTATTGCTTCTGTTACAAAAGAATTGATCATTAATATCAAAGACCAGTTCAAGTTTGAATTGCATTTCCGAACAGTATTTTATCACAAGTTTCTTGCAGCTTTTGTAAATTCTTTATATCATATCTAAGGCTTCCCCTTTTGCCTATAAAGTTATAAAACACTTACGAGGTCAAATAGCCTTGTAGCTTGTTGCTTTAGGTTGTTTAGTCCTGTGTTAAATCAGGTTATGGTGTTTGTAGAATTAGTGCTTTTGGCAGATCATTTTTTGTTTATAATTGTAAAGGGTAAAATTTTGATGCAGAAGATAGTTCAAATTTCATTAAAGATAGAAGTGCAAGTTGCTGCAGCTTTGGACTTTTTGTTGCAAATTTTATTTAACCTTGTGCAAGTAGGAGAAGACGCTAGACAGTATAATGTAGACATTGCTGCATGTTGTCATATGTCCATTTCCTCCTAATTTTTTTCATACAGAGAGCTTCTGTGCAATATAATGCTAAGGCGGCTGTGGGTTGTGTTCATTTATTAGTGGAAGACCAAGTATTGATTGTCATGATGTGTATTGTTTTCTATGTCCAGTAGAACTGGCTCTAATCAGTTGAAATGATAATTTTGTAATACAAAAAAAGACTGTAATATTCCAAACAGTTTTTAATGAAAAAATATGCAAAACTTGAAAATGTGTTGTTTTATTTGTGTGTGGAAACAAGCTATAATTTTTAGAAGATATAAATATATTTACAATAAAT